TTTCCATTCATTCATTGTTGCATTTTTCTCCCTGACCACCCCTCCCCCCTAGTTCTCTCTTCTCTTTGAAAAGTAAAAGAAAAGTTCCTTCATTGGTATAAAATCCCCACCCCACATCCTGAGGACACTCCACTATGCCACCTTCAATCTGTACTTTTGCCATAACCATAATACCCAATCACATATCACTTTTAAACTGTTCTCACCCACGTATGTTTCAATGCAGTATACATTATTTATCCAATTTTTCACAGTCTCAAAAGACTTTGATAAAGAGAGTGATATTTTCACTGGTAAATTACTTTATCCTGAGGGAAGGTCAGTAACTTTGTTATGGTTAATCAGTCCTCACTGAGAAAAAGTGACCCTGTATTTGTGCTCCAGTAACTGGAAGGTCATCTGAAATCTTCCTTGGTTGCAGCAGATCTTGGAAGATGTTACTATCACTTCAAATGTGAACTAGATCTCCAGGGCAACTATTCAAGTCTCAAATCCTAGCATACTGCTTCTGGAAACAATAATTATATTATCATAGATGCCAAATAAATTTTCATAGAAAATACTATTTTCATTTCAATTATTGTTGAGATCACATCTTTAATTCCCAATTGAATAGTTTATATGAAAGAAAAAAGCTAGATATCATAAAATACATTGCATATACTGATCCCCTTCCTCTTCCTTTTTCAACAGGTATGTCATCTCCGCACCAAGAGTATTTCGGGTTGGAGCATCTGAAACAGTTGTAATGCAAGTTTATGGATATACAGAAGCATTTGATGCAACAATCTCCCTTAAAAGTTACCCAGATAAGAAATTTCAATACTCTTCAGGCCATGCTTCTTTATCTCCAGATAACAAATTCCAAAATTCTGCAGTCTTAACAGTATGTATCTTTCCTCAGTTATACATAGGTATATAGAGATATTTAGACATAAATACACAAAACAAAATAATTCTCTGTAGAATAAGTAATAAAGTTTGAATATTGATAAAATAGAAATTTGATAATTTTCATCACTGTGCCACTATGGAATTATTAGATTATATCAGTAAATAATTATTTGAGTGAGACATAAAAGTATAAGTAGATGAATTGGGGCTGCTTTTTGAGCAATGCATGTGTATGTAAATTGTTACTGGAAAATGAAGTTTCATTCAGGTGGAAATATTTGGAAATGAGTTGAAAATATATGTTTATGTATAAATTGTAATTACAAAGAAACAGGGAAATATAAATTATTCTCTGGTGGCCTAGTGGTAAGAAGTTGTGTTGCAATTCCAAAGGCATGAAGTTCGATTCCACCACAAGAAGGACAGGCACACTCTTCAGATTCAACATATTGCCTCTGAAAACCCTCTGGAAAGTCAGCTACGAATCAGTTCCGATTCGACAGAACAACAACAACAACATTGTTCACGTAACTCCATAGGTGCTAGTGAACGTTTATTTGCTTAAACTTCGACATCCTACAGCTAAAGCTTCTGATTACTAAATACTTAATTACTAAAGTAAATAACTCATTGATATCTTGTAATTAAAAATTTTAGATCAAATAGCCCTTTTTTCCTTTTAAGACACTGTGGTATAAATTGATAAGAAATATGCTCACAATTAATTTTTCATTAAAATTTATGATTATTTTTATTTAAATTAAATTGTTTCATTAGAAAAATTTTCGCACTAAATAAGTTATATTAGTTACCATTGGTGCCTCCGTGGCAAGGAGATGCACTGCCAGCTCAAAGGCAAGCAGTGAGAATCCACTCGCTGTTCCACAGGAAAAAGATGGGCAATTTCTTCCTGTGCAATTGACAGCTTCTGAACACCCACTCGAGGTCCAGCTATGAGTGGGTTACATCGTGACAGGACATAATAATAACAATGAATAAACACAATCAAAAAAAGACCTTTTTGATTTCTGATAGAAATGAAGAAATCAAACAACATCAAACTTAGAAGGGGCTCTGGGTCATTTCAAACTAATGTTTCTTTAAAGAGAATTGTTTCTGAAAAAAAATTAAAAATCTTACAGTTTGTAGAGCTCATATTTTAATTTTATTTATTTGATAGCTTTGTTTTAATTTACCTTAAAAATTTGTTTTGGTTTTGTAATTATGTAAAAGTCACAAGAGTAAGAAGTTTATACTTTTAAGTTTGTACAGTTTTACAATAAAAAATATATGTAAGTCAAAATTGAGTTCCCATTACAACTTTTTGTCTGACATTTTAGAAACACTGATTTAAATAAGCTTTAACTCAATGTAGCAATTCTTTCATGAAATAGTTCAGTAATAAGTGCTTTAATCTCTTAATAAATATTTCCATTTATTTGGCTTATATAAACTTTTGTTTCTTTTCCCAAAGTGTTGCTTTCAGGAGAGACTCTCTTAATTGATACATTGAGGTCTAATAGTCTGCACAGGGGCCACCAGCCCTTATGACTGTTTATATTTCAGTTAAACATATTTAAAATTCAGTTCTTAATCAGTTATAATTTAAGTGCCTAATAACCATGTATTTCTAGAAAATATATGGCATGGCATAGATACAGAATATTTTCATCATCCTAGAAATAAAAAAAGGAGCTTTGGTGGCCTAATGGCAAGAAGCTGCCCTGCAATCCCAAAGGCATGCAATTCAAGGCCACCATCTGCTCCACGGGAAAAGAATGGGCAATCTCCCATGTAATTATCTGCCTCTGAAAACCTGCCTGGGGAAAGGGGTGAGGGTCAGCTGTGGGTTGGTTCTGACTTGATGGTAAACAACAACAAAAATATAGTGATTAAGATAGAAAAGCATCAAAATTGACGCATATCGTAAGCATTTTATTGTGTCTTGGTATAATATATTTGGTAATATATTGGATTTGCTAATTGTTTTATATTAGTTCAAGATATTTTCTCTAAATGTGGGTAAACTAGATATAGCTTTAAACATTATCTTTATGTAAATTGCATCTTAACCCTGTGTCTTTGTTTTGCAATTTGTTGTTTAAATTTTTTAAGTACTACTACTTGTAAAGACATCTAAGTACAAAATCCAAATTCTCATCTTTAACTCCATAGATATTAAAGTGATTTTTATCCCCTATTTTGAAAGCCTGAAACTAAATTTTTGAAGATATGTTCTTTTTCTTTTGTTAGTTTTTTAAAAATTTTATTAATTTTAATGAACGTTTACAGAGATTTTGAATTTCCATTCATTCATTGTTGCATTTTTCTCTCTGCCCACCACTCCCTCCCAGTTCACTCTTCTCTTTGAAAAGTAAAAGAAAAATTCCTTCTTCGGTATACAACCCCCCCCCCCAAACTACACACCACTATGCAACTTTCACTCTGGACTCTTGTCATAACCATAATACCCAATCATATATCACTTTTAAACTGTTCTCTCTGTCATCTGTTTCAATGCAGTATACATAATTTATCCAATTTTTCTCAGTCTTCTTTTGTTAGTTTTATATATTAAAATTGTACCCATTTAATTTAAATTAGATAATTACAGTTACATACACAAATTAAGAATACCACAATCGATCACTGAAAAGCATGTAGCTTAAAACACCAGAGCAGATCTACATGTAATATAAATGTTAGAAGTGTCAGTCAGGATTTTGTACCCCAGAACTTGGAGGAGAGAGTAGTCCACTGAGCTCATTAAGTGAATGTTTGTTAAAAGAATGTCTACAGTGTTAGTTTTACTAAATATATACGTACATACACACATATATGCATATCTAACTGTGCCATCCTCATGATCTCTGATGTACTTGAGTCCAGTGTTAAAATCACCATGTCAATCCACCTTGTTAATTGAGGGTCTGCATCTCTTTCTCTGAGGATTATGCAGGAAAGATCAAGGTTCTTATCTGTTGTTCACAGGGTTGTAATTGTCTTGATGGCACCTAACAACTACATCTATCTATCTATCTATCTATCTATCTATCTATCTATCTATCTATCTATCATCTATCTATCCTTATCTGTGAAGAGAAGGAAGAAACTGTATAGGGCTGAAACTTGTCAGAGAAAGAAAGTGCACATATTTCCACTAAAATAACTGATTTTAAAGTGCTTGGGTTATATTCTATCAAAGGTGGAAAACTTAGAAAACTCAGAAAAACCAACTAGCCCATGGTGTTCTGAATCATACATGTTTCTCTTTCTCCTCTCCTCCTCCTCTCTTCTCTCCTTTCCTCTCCTCACCTCTCCTCTCCTCTTTTCCTCTCCCCTCCCCCTCTTTCTCTCTCCCCACCCTCTCGTGTGTGTGTAATAAAACATGTAATAAAGAAGATGTTTAACTGTCTAAAGCAAAATTTGGTTATGATATTTGGACACTAACGGTCAACAGATTGGAAGAAGTCCATATTTGCTCGCATTCTCAAGGTGATCCAACAGAATGTGGAAACTATCCAACAATATCATTGATATCACATGCAAGCAAAATACTGCTGAAGATCATTAAAAAATGGCTAGAACACTACACAGATAGGGAACTGCCAGAAGTTCAAGCAGAATTTAGAAGAAGCTGTGGTACCAGATATATCATTGCTGATGTCAGATGGATCCTGGCTGAAAGTAAAGAGTACCAGATGAATGTCTATTTATGCTTGATTGACTAGACAAAGGCATTTGACTCTGTAGACCATAACAAGTTATGGTTAACATTGAGAATAATGGGAATCCCAGAGCACTTAATTATTGCGCTCACGCAAAACCTATACCTAGACAAAGAGTCTGTTGTGCGAACCAAGTAAGGGAACACTACATGGTTTAAAATTGAGAATGGGGAATGTCAGGTGTGTATTTTCCCTCCATATCTATTCAATCCGCATGCTGAACAAATTCTTCGATAAGCTGGATTCTGTGAAGAAGAATGTGGCATCAAGATTGGCGGACCTTTCTGCCAGAGAATGCTACTGAGGAAACATCACTAAAATGTTCATTCCCACCACCGACCATGTCGAAGTCAGAGTCTCCTAAAGAGGCTGAACAGCTGTGGAAACTACTCCTCAGAGTGTTGAGCTTTGAAGTCTGAGGAGCCATTTCGAGCAATGGGGGATGCTCACGGACTGTGTGGGAATGAGAGATCCAAATACCAAGCGCTCCAGAGGCTTTGGCCTTGTCACATCCTCAACTGTGGAAGAGGTGGATGCAGCCATGAATTCAAGACCCCGCAAGGTGGATAAAAAGTTTGTGGGACCCAAGAGGGCTGTCTTGAGAGAAGATTCTCAAAGATAGGTGCCCACTTAACTGTGAAAAAGATTTGTTGGTGAAATTAAGGAAGATACTGAAGAACATCACTTATTATTTTGAGATTAGTTTGAGCAGTATAGGAAGATTGCAGTGATTGAAAGCATGACTGACCGAGGCAGTGACAAGAAGAGGGGCTTTGCCTTAGTAACTTTTGATGACCGTGAATCTGTAGATAAAATCGTTATTCAGAAACATCATACCATGAATGGTCACAGCTGTGAAGTAAGGAAAGCCCTGTCAAAGCAAGATATGGCCAGTGCCTCCTCCAGCCAAAGAGGTCGAAGTGGTTCTGGAAACTCTGGTGGTGGCCGTGGAGGTGGTTTTGGTGGGTATGACAACTTTGATGGAGAAGGAAACTTCAGTGGACGAAATGGCTTTGGTGGCAGTCGTGGCGGTGGAGGACATGGAGGAAGTGAAGATGGTTATAATGGATTTGGTAACAATAATGGTTAAGGAGGAGGTGGTCTTGCTTACTCTGGAGGAAGCAGAGGCTATGGCAGTGGTGGACAGGATTATGGAAACTAGGAAAGTGACAATGGGGGAGTGGCAGCTATAACAATGGAGGTGGCTTTGGTGGTGGAAGCAACCGTGGAGGTGGTGGAAGCTACAATGATTTTGGCAATTACAATAATCAATCCTCAAATTTTGGACCCCTGAAGGGGGAAAACTTTGGAGGCAGAAGCTCTGGCCCTTATGGTGATGGAGGTCAGTATTTTGCCAAACCACAAAACCAAGGTGTCCATAGTGTTTCATGCAGCAGCAGTAGCTGTGGCAGTGGCAGTCAGTGTTAAAAACTGCCAGGAAACAAAGCTTAGCAGGAGCAGAGAGCCAAAGTTCACAACAGATTTGTGAACTCAGCCAAGCACAGTGGCGGCAGGGCCTCACTGTTAAAAAAAGAAGACATGTTTTAGACAATACTCATGTGTATGGACAAAAAACTTGAGGACTGTATTTGTGACTAAGTGTATAACAGGTTATTTTAGTTTCTGTTCTGTGTAAAGCCTTCTGAAAACCAAGGTTTTCATTTAATTTTTTTTTTGCACCCATACTGTTGATTGCTAAATGTAATAGTTTGATCATGATCTTGTTTTAAATGTGCTTTGTAAAATTAGTGTACTCCGAAGCCATCTTGAACCCGAAAGTATTGAAGTTTAGAAGTCATTAAAAATTTACATTGGAAGACTGCTTGGGGACAGAGAAGCCATTGTCTACAGAAGCTTTGACTAACAGTTAATGTACTTGTGACCTGGAGTTCACCATTAAAGTGGTCACCCAAGCAAAGTTAAAAGCATCTATTTAGTTATAAAAATGGTTGTTTGCACATCCTACACAATATATCTAAATTGAATCATGGTACCAGATAAAGTTATAGCTGTGATTGAAATGTATGTATCATGTGTAATCAAGAAATGATTTAATATAAAAAATATTGGAGGGAGACTCATCAATAACCTGCACTATACAGATGATACAACCTTACTTCTGAAAGTGAGGAAGAATTGAACAACTTGTTGCAGAAGATCAAAGACTACAGCCTTCAGTATGGATTGAACATCAAGAAAAGAAAAATTCTTACCATTGGACCAAGAGGTAACATCATGATATATTGAGAAAAGATTGAAACTGTCAACAACGTCATCTTACTTGGATCCACAATCAACACCCTCGGCACCAGCAGTCAAGAAATCAGGAGACATACTGCACCTGGAAAGTCTTCAGTTAAGGACCTCTCTAAATTATTCAGAAGGAATAATGTCAGTTTTAGGACTAATGTGTGTCTGATTCAGGCCTTGGCCTTTCTGATCACTTGCTGTGCATCTGAGACCTGAACAATGAAAAAGTATGACAGAAGAATTGATGCCTTTGAGCTGTAGTGTTAGCGAAGAGTACTGAGCATCCCATGGATTGCCAAAAGGACAAACAAATATTTCTTCAAAAAAGTACAATCAGCACGTTCTTTGGAGGCAAAGATGAGAAAGCTTTGCCTCACATACTTTGGGCATGTTGCTAGAAGGGTCTATTCCTTGGAGGGGGACATGGTGCTTGGAAAGGCAGAGGGTTGACAAAGGAGAGGAAGACTCTCAACTAGGTGAATTGACACAGTAACAGCCACAATGGGCTGTATGTCAGGAAGTGTGAGGATAGCACAGGATCTATTGTTCAGATCTGTTATTCATAGGTTTGCTGTGGGTCATACTCGATGAGCCAGCACCTAACAACAACAAGGGTCTTGGGCAAAATGTATCTACAGCTCTGGTTTCTGTAAGAGGGCCATGGTAGTTCAAATGATTAATGAACTTGACTGTTAGCTGAACCATTGAGTGGTGGAATTCCCTTCGATGTACTTGGAAAGAAAGATTTTGTGATAGATTTTTGAAAAAGAAATCTGACACACTCTGGGTTGTCAAGAGTTGGAGCTAATTCAAATGTAATTGGTAGGATCTCAGGGTGCTTCCCTAGATGATTCTATTAAAATTTCTTTTCATCAACCTTTTCTTTTATAGATATCACCCAAACAATTGCCTGAAGGTCCAAATCAAGTTTCTTACGTGTATTTGGATGTTGTATCAAAGCATTTTTCAAAATCCAAAAAAGTGCCGATCACTTATGAGAATGGATTTCTCTTCATTCATACAGACAAGCCTGTTTACACTCCGGACCAGTCAGGTAGAGTATACATTTTCCCCAATGGGGTGAAAGCGACACCATACTATGTAACTTTTAACATCTAAATTTAAGTAGAGATAGGTTTTTCTCAACTTTCTCAAGAATCTCAATTATTAATGAGTTCTAGCCCTATTAATAAAATCCTAATTTCAATTTAGGCTTTGATGGCCTAGTGATAAGAAGCTGCACTGCAATCCTAAAGTAACACAGTTCGAATCTACCAGCCTCTCTGCAGAAGAAGGATGGACACTATCATCTCACCCCAAGTACAGCCTCTAAAAATCTGTTTCGGTCAGCTATGAGCTGGTTCTGAATCTATGGCACAGAACAACAATAACAATTTTAATTATTTGGATATTGGTAAATACATTGCAAGAGCAGCAATCATATTAACTGCCTTATCAGTGATTTCCAAGTAGAAACAGATTTTTTTTAAATTATGAGATGCTCTTGTCATTGTTATGTGCCACTGAGTCACGTGCAACCCATCACAATCCTATGTACAGTAGCTTTGAACCCTGTCCTGAGATGTCTTATTTATTAAACAAATATAAGATTTGCTTAAAAATTTAAGATAAATGGATTATTAATTGATAATGAGAAAATTATTTCTTATAGAATCCTTTTCATATTTTCAAGATGAATTGACTTTGGCACTAATTTCGAAATTTAGAAAACAAATTCAACTCTAGATGTTCAACAACAGGTGTTTTATTAAAGAATAAATTTGGCTAGGGAGCCACCTTCGATGCGGTTCCATGTTCATGGTTCTATTTTTAGAGGGGAGAAAAACAGCCATGCTGTGTAAAAATAACTGGAACTACTCCCAATGGACCAAAGGTAAAATGCAGAAAAGTATGACTACTGCCCAAATATCTTTATATTTTTGCTTATTTTGCAAAACCAATCCCCCTATTTCTTTCCGTATCATCATTGCCTTCTGAGCAATGATGGGATTATGAGAAAAGGGTGTGGCAAAAGCCACTTGGAAGAAATGATGCAATCTCAGTCAAGATATTCCCACTGAAGAACAAAGGAAGAACCATCCAGTTTTGTTGAAAAGCTTTGGACACAGTGAATACTCATGAAATGATGGTTGCTAATGCATGGAAACAGTTATTGTGTGATTGTTATTGTTACTTTTGTGTACTGTCAAATCAGGATTTACCCATAGCTGACCCTCCAGTGGGTTTTCAGGGGCAGTTGATTGCACAGGAGAAGATTGCCTATCTTTCTACCCTGTGTAGAAGCTGGTGATTTGATTTGAATTGCGTACCTTTGAGTTACAAGTGCAGCTCCTTACCTCTAGGCCAAAAGACTACATTATTATCTTTTTAGCAGAAGTACCAGTTATGGTCGACTCAGAAGGGCTTAGAGAAGGTGGTGATATTGCTGTTATTTTGGACAGAATATCATTGCCAGAATAGCCCAATTTTCTTGGCTCCAGGATGACTTATCATACTTTGTCCATGAAACTTGAGTCCTTTTGAACATACCTAGCAATAAATGAATCCTCACTCTTGTCCTTCACCTATATTGTAAGATGTTTCACTAAATGAATCCTTTTAACACTCTGTCAACATTAAGGTCCTCTATTTTCACCCAGTATGGAGTCTGATACTTAAGCCTGAGGTCTTTCTTAATTATCAAGGCTTTCCTTAGAAACTGTACTCATTTATTATTTCCCTAGCATGACCTTACTGTAAGAGAATGTTGCATACTCATCTATTACAAGCCTGGATGAAAATTTGAGACCATTCCTCCAAGCAGTATTGGAATTATATATGCTGATTGCATGCTGTATTTTATTTATATGAGGGTTTTTAGAAGACTGATTATTTTAAAAATAAAAATATTATTTTGTTTAGCAGAGATTTTGAATTATTTCAATTGTTTTTATAGTAAAGGTTAGAGTGTATTCACTGGATGACGACTTGAAGCCAGCCAAAAGAGAAACTGTCTTAATTTTCATTGTAAGTATGTTCTTTTCATTGCAATAATAATTGAACTCATTTTTCAGGACAAGACCTGTTCCACACTACACCAAATCATGGAATGTTTCATAAACGGCTGCTGAACACTCATTCTAGCATAGCATCATGGGTCTAGATCTTTTCCCATTATATCTAAAAAGTTTATAAAAAATCCATGCAAGTTGAAAGATTTTAAACTAAGCCACTTAATATAACCTTGATTTATTAAAGAACACTACACAATAATTAAGAATTCATTGTGTGT